ACGTACCAGTCAGTAACAACAAAAATATTTAATCTACTTGAAACTTTTCTTATTAGAATGTCCCCGCCCATTGTTGTGTTTAACAAATGTGAAAAGCGCAATCTGGAATTAGTTTCAGTGCCTCGAAGGCTTACCAGTTAGGATGAATCTAGGAAACAGTGCAGTCCCGGTTGAGGGCTGTGAGTCGCAGTGTTTGGTGACTCACAGGCTCCTGTGGCTGCTGCCCCAGGACTCGCGTGCAGGGAGCGAATGGGCTGGACGGGGCGGAGGGCCAGCAGGTCAGAGGGAGAGTTGGAGAGATGTAGCAAGTGGAAACAGGAACGCTAACAAGGAGTGGAAAACAAATTCTCCAGAGGCTGGAGAAAACTACTGGGAGGAAAAACATAGGAAACTAAGTTTATCTCAGGGATTTATTCCACAAAATCAAACTGCAGAGGAGACGTGTGATGCTTTCCCAGGCCATATTTATGCTGTAATTCGATGATGATTGTTACTCCAAATGAGAAATTGTAATATCGTGAACAATCGCGGAGGAGTTAAATGATATTTTTGCCCTTCCCAGGAACATAGAATATTCCGTTAGAAAGACGTTTAGGAGATGTGACCCCTACTATTAAAATTAAAAGGTTATTATGAAGCTTTTAATTTTCTGAGCATTTGTACTGCTGTTTTTCCAGCTAAATAAAACACATAGAAGTTTTCATAATTAATCGTCTCTTTCAGGTCTGTTTTACCAAGATCAAAAGCATTAAGGCCCGAAACTGACAGGAATGTTCTTGCCATTGGTCTCTTGTGATTGTTTTTTAATTTTGCTAACCTCCCAAGAAATTTTGAAAAATTATGAGAAGTACACAACATTCCTAACCACCATAAAAAATAAATTAAATCAATTTTTAGTAATCATCTAGTATAAATGATTGTCTTCCAGGAGTAAATATGTATTCAGGTAATTAAAGGAGAAAAATAATGGAAATTTTGTTATTTTACAGTATATTTTGATAACTAGATTTCTGCTAAGAATGTAACTGAAATTCTCTTCTGATTTGTTCTTGTTACTATTACTTTTTATACCAACATGAATTTCAGATATACATGAATAGGTTCTTCTTGTAAAACTGGGTTAAAAAACTGCAAATCTGGGTGGGCATGGTGACGCATGCTTGTAATCCCAGCACTCAGGAGGCTGAGACAACAGTGTCACTGTGTGTTTGAGGTCAATACAGGCTGCAAAGTAAGTTCAAGGCTACCCTGAACTATCTAACTAAACCCCCCTCTAAAAAAAAGTAAGTTTGTGAAAAAGTATTTTTATTTTCCACAAAATGTAATAAGTATTTTCAAAAATATATTTTTTCCTTTTCCTGTTTTTTAGCAATTTTAATGTTATCCAAATAAATACTTTCGTATTCATGAAAAAAACCTAAAATTTATGTAGTTACTTGGAATAAAAAGTGCACTTGAAAGGAAGAAAATAACATGGTTTAAGCAAATCAGTAATAAATTCTTTTCACAATAACATTCATGAAAACAACTTACTTTAATAAAAACAAACAGAAATATCATCTTTAACAAAAGACATTTCTTCTTTAAATTTTGTCTTTTATCATACTTTTATCTAATATAATTGTTCTGTGAAAGATGAAACGCTAAATAGTATTTGGAGATATAGATACACAAACACATATATTGAGGTTCTTAAGACTATAAAGTTATGTTTTTAAAATTTTAGATTTTAAATTAGAGCAGAAAAATATTACCAATATTTTAATTATCATTGACAAGAGATACACTAGTCAACCCAATTTAAATATATTTAGTTTTCATGCCTAACAGTGTTAAATTGTCCATAGCTTTTAAATGAACCAAGCCCAAAGTCATGAAATTGGGCACAAGAAAGGAGACATTGTTTTCTGTCCTTCTCTGCCAGTCTCTGTCTGTTTCTGCCTCCCCATACCCCATATATATATACCTGCATTGAAACAGTGAGGAAAATACTGTGTAACAAGTATAGTATTTTTTTATTTAAAATGAAAAAGAGAAAAAAAGCAGAACAAAACAAAACAGTGTAAGGGTACAAGTAATTCAGAACTACAAAACAAACATAAAAAAAACAGTAAGCTATCACTAGTTAATAGATTACACGCTATCATCTTAGAAACAGTGTTTCAGGTCACAGGATCAAAGCATACAAAGTAAACATTCAAACAGTGAGACTGCAAATAGTTGTCTTCAGTAATCCAATCAAAAATATTAATATGGCCATCTATTTAACACACCTAAACACCCTTGTTGTTGTATCCTTTAGGGCACTTTTTTTTCCCCTCTCTTTATTACAATAAAATTTACACATTTTGGGTTTTATTGCTCCCTTAGATCTTATTACTTATTTTGTAAGAGAATAAAATGATAAAACAAAGCTGTCAGTCAAAACCAAGGATAGACATAGCACATGATGTAAAAACAGAGTACAAGGTTATCAACAATGGTTACCATAACAAGTATAGTATTTAATGTGGTACACTTTTCTAGTGCTTATAGTTTACAATACAGAATTCTTGTTTCTGAAGATTTAGCCAAATAATTAAATACATGAAAGGTACTTCCTTTGAACAGTAGTTAGAGTTCCCACTGAATTTTCTTTTGATTGGAAAAATGAAAGAAGAGAGAAGACAGAAATATCTAGTTCACATGAGCAGTCATTTCAGTGTATTTCTCTTTGAAATGTCAAAAAATCCGTTTCCAGATGGTATGAGTGATTGTTTTTGTTTCCAGGGAATTAATGATGAGAAATATATTACATGAGCTCAGTATTGTAAAAGAAATATCTGAGAAAACCTTGCCCCTTAGTGTGACAATCAGTGTAAATTTTCTTTCATAGTGTAATTTTGTGATCAAAGGAAATTTTTGTAATAAAAAATGCTTTGTTAATGTAGTCTGATTATTTCATAAACTTAAGCATATCACAGAGCTATTGCAGGTTATGTCTACTGTTTTACCTGTACATAAACAAATATCCCAGCCTTACAAAAGTGTGACGTGATTGATCCTTTGAATATGTTCAAAACTAATTGACAATTGCATATAGACATATTTTAAGACAAAACTATGTTGAAGAATATCAAAAAGCTACTAACTCCTAGGGCTTAGGGAGTGAAATTTCTGAGGCCAGGAAGTCCTGAAATCACTTGCAATGAGCTGGTTAAAAGATTTTTTTGTTACACATCTGGTGTTATATGATGTTAGCATATATGTCTGCTTCTGAAAACTTTAACTGCATGCTGAAAAACATGGAGAAAAAGTTTCTGCTTCCATTCTGTTTGATTACATAATTGGTAGGTGAAAGTTTATGGAAAGAACACACAGAAGAGAAACAAACACATGTACACACACTACTAGTGATATTTTATTTATTTACTTATTTAGTTTGAAGACTGTCTTGCTGTATTGTCCTTGAACTCATTATTTGGCCCAGGCTGGCCTCGAACGTCCAGCGATTCTCCTGCCTCAGCCTTCTAAGTACTGGAATTACAGGAATTACTAATCTTTTTAACATAATGATGTCCTTCCATATGAGTCAAGAATCCTATTTGCCAAGTTGCCTTTAAAATATAACAGATTGATGACTGTAGAGCTATTTAAAAATTGCTTTAAATGTTGGGACTACTAGGAAATAAACAGATTCTACCCCCACTTCAAATAATTCCAAAAAGCTTGGCCTCAAGCTTATAGAGAATGAGTTGAGGGATCAGAAGAACAGGAATTTCAGTCTGCTTGATAAAGATTAGAATAATAGGTCATTGGATAATTGGATTATAAAATATTGTTGACTATGAAGATTACAGGAGACTGGAAGAATAATTCATTTTGGATTTTGAGATTTTGCATGACTGAAGAATTTTCAGTAGACTAACAAAAAGTAAAAAAAAATAGAGATTAGAGATTCACTGATGATTTAATAGTGTTTTTATATCAAAATATAATCATCTGATCTTTCATTTTCAATTAGGTAGTAGCATAAAGTAAAATATAAGAAACTTGAAACAACATCTTTGTGTCTTTGGCAATCACATTAAAGGCTGCTATGCTTACATTGTTGAATAATGACAATAGTGAAAATACTGAACCAAAGATTACTTTGTAAATATAAAATTAAGCACTGCATTAAGAGCCTTGCTTTTTGGTTTCGAAGTTCTTTTCACATCATGTTCAATTATGCTTGATTCAAAAATAGCCTTTCTTGTTTACATATCAGTTAAATGCATGAATTTTTAGTGAGTGTTTCTGACATGCACAAGGGAACACAGCAAAATATCATAAATATTAGGTCCTCCCTCTCTCCAACAGCGTGTTCTGAATATACTCGCTAAAATGGTTTACTTTACGGTTCATGTAAATTTATAATCAGATCACTCAATCAACTAAAATTGTATTTCCCAGTGACAGCATGGCTGATAGTCTGAGATGAAAGCGTACCAAACTAAAAAGGGAAAATTTTATTTTCTTCATTAGAGGGTTAAAGTTTACAGTTTCAATCATCAAACTTGTAGCTACTAACCAGGCTTTACTTTGCAGCAAAATTGGCATATTATATTAATCTGTTGAATTAGTTGTTATAGTTTAATTTTGTGTTAACACAAAGAAAACTGTTTTTAGGAAGACATAGCAAAAATGCATGTGATTTGGGGGATGTTGTTCCAGCTCTATTTTTGTTGCTGGTAATCTCCCTGCACATCATACTGTGTGTGTGCTGGCCCCGATCAGGATGATTAGGGTGAAAAAACTTTCCCAAGAGACCTTATTGAAAGGTGTTCCTTCCCTGGGTGAACTGGAAACTTGATACAAAGTCTACTCTGGAAATGGCCATCTACTAAAGGTGGATTCATCTAAAGTAATTCACTTGTTTCTGTGTGTGAATTCTCAGGGTGAGAGCCAGACTTTGTACTAGGCATTATCTTATACAGGCCCTGTGCCTATGGCTCTCACAGTGTAAGAGAGAAGAGAGACGTAGAATAAGTAAGTAAGTTACACTGACATTGGAATGATACAGGGAGGATCACCACGGCCCCTGTACAAGGAAGATGCTCAACTTTGTGAGGCATCCCAAAATTTTGAGTTATTGGTAGGAAAATGGATGGATCTTGAGACCATAGTGCTGTGTGAGATAAATCAGTCCCAGAAAGTTAAAAATCACATGGTTTCTTTAATATGAAAGACCCTCCCAAATAAAAAATTTAAAGAGCAACATAAGACAGATGTTAAGAAATAGGGAAGTTGTTCTGTGGCGATAAGAAAGGGGGAGGATGAGGACAGTGAAATGACCACGATGCAGTGTGTATACACAGCAGTCCCCTGGGGTGAATGTGGGTAATAAACATATATTAATGAAACATGCTTAAAAAGATGGTTTACTTACAAATCAAAGAAGAGACAGAAATCTTAAAGTTAGAGGTAGTGTTTTCAGCTGTTTCTAGTTACCTATCACCCTAGCTCAGTCTTTCTCTGGTTGGTCACGGGCTGGGTTACAGGTTATTAAGTATTTTTAGTCTTAAGCCAGTTTACATCATGGTGATGGGTCTCTCTTTACTTGGAAAACTATATTTAAATGAGAAAATTTGTTGACATGTGAGGAATATCCGTGAGGAGAATTAGAAGAGCAGAGTAAATGTCCCCACCGACGCAGAAAACTGAGCAGCATCCAGTGTTTAATCCCATTGACCTAAGCGAACCATATGCATCCACCTGATGAAAGGCTTGATCGTATCAGTGGCCCAAGAACACCTAACCAGTTCTGTAGTTTTGACGTCCAGAGCAGGACCTTGACATATATCGCTCCAGAGCCGCCTTAGACTCCCCTCCTACTGTACTCTGAATACCTCCACCTCCAGTACTGTAATGGTCAACTCTTACCTCTTCTCAGAAAGAGTCTTTTTCTTAGATGGCTATGTTTGCTAGCACCAATGCAAAAGAATTAGAATTTAACACTTTAAAGAACAGTCTGATTTGCAAGTTCCCGGGACACACTTCATCACAGTTCCCACATACTGACAAGGGTTCTTATTTGGATAAAGTGCATGAATATTCTCTTGAATCTTATGTTAGTTTTGTTTTTATATTCTGGACCAAACTACCATGTTTTTTCTGGCCAACAGATTTAAAGTCTAAACATAAAGGTTTATTTTTTATAAATATGTTTTGAATTTGACCTTCATGGGGAACATTTAAAGTGTTGTAATCAATGAGGTTTCAGGTACCTCTTTACAGAGAGCTACTGTGATTATGTTTTTGTGGTTGGATTTTTCTGAGCCCATTAGCTACGTGGTAATGGAGTGGTGGAATTAAGGTTTTGAGAATCATTGCACCACCCGCTTACCAGAAATTCAATAAAAAACAAACATGAGTGATAGGTTTATGTTCTAGTACAGTATATTTTTAAATTGGTGCTTGTTAAACCCTCCGGAGGATACATCAAAGGGAATAGGAAAAATTCACCTTTGATCTAGTGAGCCTTCTTATAATTACAGTCAATATCAAACGTTAAAGGAGCAGATGTAGGAGGCAAAATGGAAATACACGCATGAGATAGACAGTTTTTCCAGAAAGCAAAAGTATGTTTAAATTAGTGAAGGATAAAGTGGTTGAATATTTTCCTGGATCCTATGTTTGTATGGGTTTAAATTAGTGAAGATAGGGTAAAAGGAAGATGGTGGTTTCTAATTCCCTACATCATTTAATGGTACCCCTTCTCGTTCTTAATGTCATTTAAAAGCACGTGCCCCTTCCACGTGAATACAAAGTGCGCTTCAGTAACTGATCCCCTCTATTCAGAAATACATATTGATGCTTTGTGAGAAAATAAATATTTGAACATGAAGCTCCCTTTAGAGTTTCAAGACTTCATGAAAAAAAGAATGAGCCTCCTAAATTTCTTTAATTTTTGTGGAAATGTAGGAAATTGTATTAGCTCTTTGATTTGATTTTTATTCTACCTTGAATTAATGAATTGTCACTTGCTTAGATTAGAAAGTTCTGCATTCCCAAATTTCTTAGGAAAACATCTGGTATTTCAATTAGTAATCTTTGATCCATGAATTGATAGAGATTTGATGAAAACAAAATTACTCATTGTTTTGAATACAAGGAAGTTTTTCTTGGCCTGATGCAAACATTGATAGCATTGGGCCTAAAGAGATTCCAAAATGAAGGAAGTTAAACTGGGCTAGTTATAATGTCATCCCATTTTATGTCGTTAAAGCCGAGCTATGAAATAAGTGATCTAGCCAGGAGGTAACGAGTAGAACCAGAATCTATATCTTCTGGCTTTTACTTCTGAATGTTGTTCCACTACGTTACTGAAGTTAAGAGTTCTTTGTCAAGCATTCTTTATGCTAATTGCTTTAGTAAAGCACAAGACAGTCAAATAACAAGAGATTGCCGGTCAAGTCCCTGGAATGCTAGAATCTGAGATGAAAATTAGAATCCATGAAGTTTCTGAGGACTCATGCTAGACCCACACCTGGGGGTAGTGAAGGAAGGATAGACCAAGCAAAGGAGTCCATTGGGCTGTGTCACAGTCACAGTGGATTTGGTCCTTTTCTAGGACGCTTTAGGGGTGGAATTGTCTTCCTAGTTGCTTAAATAGGAGCTGAGGGAGTGGACTTTGTAGCCCCATTTCGATCAGTCACAGGATGGAGGCTGTCCTGGGAAGGAGCAGCACTCTGAGTGAGGTATCTTTCTCAGGGTGACAGCAGTTTTTTGGAGGAAGGCAACAGTGAATTAACTGTCTCTGGCTAAGTCTCAGCAGCAGGGCGATCCAGCCAGTGTTCCACAGCGCACACTACCACCGTTAATTAAATAACTGCACTGTGTCAGCTATTACATATGCCACTCTGTGTGGGCTTCACTAATCCATAGAGTGACCACAAGAAAGGCAGTGATATTCTCCTTTTTCTAAAGAAAGATTGAGTAATTTGCTAAGATCACATACAAATGGCTAGTCCAGATGATTCAAAGCTCTTGGTCTCTTCATAAATCTGCCTTTTAAAGTAAGAGAGACAGTACGGTATACTATCAAACTCTACGATTCTTCAGACCCTTTGATTCTGCAGAAAATTTGAGCTGTGTTTTCTCTAAGTATTTTGTTGTGGAATTTTGTTGTATTTTCTCATAGAGGAATGCTTTATATATTTACTTTATTGCTATCTACTTATATTACATTAAAAATAAAATTTTATTATCAATTTTATTCTTATCAATACTATAACTACTGATACTGCTACCCCCAGAGGTAAATTCATCTTATAATGTTGACTTAAACCATGTTAGATGTGATTCTTGACTTTTAGAAGGATGTGAATGATATTACAAAAGCAAAATAATTTGTGAACATATATGTAAATCTCTGACTTCTAATCAATAAAATGATAATATCACTTTCTTTATCAGGTGGTTCTAATAATTTAATTTGCTAGAAGAGGCACCAGTGCATGGCTTACGATACTTTAGACATTCTAAAACTTACTTTCTATGTTTAAACTCAGTATAAGTGCAGAATTATTAGAGAATACTTGCGTCCATGAGAAACAGAAGTGATTCCCATTTTCATTTTAAGTAGCAGTTAAAGTGGGTATCTCTGCGTGTTGAGTGAGACATGAGGTAGATGGAATAGGTTTTGAGCAGCATCATACTAAATGTTATTATTGATAGACGTCCAGATGGTCAGATGTAGAAAGTGAACAACTTGCCCATGAGGACAGTGACCCTCCTTTGCAGGAGGTTTCAAGCACCACAGACATGGTGCTCTGTCTTCTGCACAGAAGAGCCTCTCCTCTTTAATATTTGTAAAGTGTGCTGTAATCACAACATGTGCAGAAAAAGTCAGTGTGAGGCAGACATCAAAATATAATGGCAGAAATCAAATATAATGTCAGTTTTGAATGGAATTCACCTTAACTTTTATCAAGACCAGAAGGGGGAAGGAGTACCAAATTGATCTTTTTATTAACCAAGTAAAATATTCATCATTTTAAAAATTTACCATATATGTATTCTGAAATTTAGAATTTTTTCTCAATTTATGCATATTTAAATAATCAGTCTATGCTGGGTATAATGTTAAGCACTAAAGATTTATAAGTAAACCACATAGATATAATGTTTTACCCTAGAGAAATTGGACCTACATGTATAATATATACACCCAGAAAACAAACACATCATTTATATATAAAAACTCACCCTTTTTTGTTCTTTTAAAAATCTGTTTTATTTTTTGAATTTATGATATTTAATCAAGAAACAAATCTCACAAGGAAAGCAAGCCCATAAAATTGGATGAGACATGCTAAGAAAAAGTCTTAAACTTCAGAGGGCAGACCTCAAGACCATGCAAATCTTCTGTATCTCCCATCCCTCCTCAAAGAACCCCAGGCCTTTCTGTATGTGGGATGCAGGAAATCTGTAATTTTATATACTGGTTTTACACACTGTCACAAGCGTGAACTCGTGATAAGTGGATCATCGTGGCGTGGCGATATACCACCTACTGTTTTTCTTTTCCCTCTACTCCATTTTTATTGAATACAACCCAAAGAATCAAAGAGGAAGAAGACAGCAAATAGTTCCCAACCAAGATGGGTCCAACATTAGTCTTATTTTATTTTACATCTCTATGTTCCTTGCTGCCAATTACTAAATGAGGTCAGGAGGAAAATATATTTTATTTATTTATTTAGATGCTGGGAATCGAACTCATGACCTTGTGCTTTATGCTATCTTAATCTATCATAATAATACCCTAATTTTATATAACAAAAAGCAACCCTCTCTCAATGAGTTAATTATGATTTATAGTAAATGTTCTTAGCTTATAATTCTTCCCTCCCAACATTCCCCTAAAATCCCAGATCCTATCAGCTAAACCTTAGCATGATCTTTGCCTTTTATTTTTTAAATCTACCAAGACGAACTTGGATGTTATACTGAGGAAAGCAAAATTTATGTACATTTTTCCTTTAAAATCTCATTTAGTTTGCATTTTTTCTTGATTAATGCTTTTGCTTCAAAAATTCACTTAACTTATGAGACTTTTTAACTAGAGCTGTTATATTTTAT